AAAAAATATACTTTTGCATTTAAATTATTGTGCCCCCCCTAATTTCAAACTCTGTCCTACGGCCCTGCCGCTGACTGTGTAGTTACATACCTCAATGGCAGTGAAACTGTAGCACAGATTGCCAGTGATAATCACTGGCATTATTAGTGCTGCCATTATTAGCACTGCCTTTAGCTTTGAGGAAAAGCTATTCATGGATGGAATGCCCCATGTGCTTGCAATTCCTTTTATGTACCGTTGGAGCTCACTGTAAAAGCGCAACAGAAATGTGGTATACCATCTTATAATCACTGCTACTTCCATTCACATTTGTAAACATTTTTTTTCCAAAACACATTTTTTCCAAAGCAAGATACTCCCCATGTACATGTTATATATTTGTATGTCTGATTCATTTCAGGATTATTATGGTGTAATGTACAGAAATACAGACACTGACCTAAAGCCAATGTCCAATCAGGCAGCTTGCCCCTAGCTCCCGGGGTCCTTAGTGACCCCCTTTTCCCCATCGCTAGCTGGTCCTAATTATGCCTAACAATGTAATTCATCCAATCATAGCCAGCTGGGCCACATTAACTGAGGCTTCTGTTGGCATAGGGTTTCGTAATCAATTGCTATGGTAACACAATGGCTGTTTCTGTGCCAATTCTGCGGCCGTCTGCCAGTTCACACAAAGATAAATATAAACAAAAATGAAAAATAGACTCCAGTATTCCAGTAGAATTAATGTCCATGTTGCACTGATCTGTGATCAAGTTCGGGTTCAAGACATCTTTGTAAACTAGTGTATATAATGTATATAAATGGATTTCATGCCTTGACATTTTCTTCATAAAACAATAAATTAATTCTTTGTCACAAGCTACGGGCCAGTCACCTGCCGTCCAGGGTGTCCCCTGCCTTGTGTCCTGCACTCCCTGAAAAAGGCTTTAGGTTTACTATCACTTCATACTGGAAAAGCAGCATGATGGATGGATGGATGGATGGATGGGGTGCGAAATTTTCTGTTAGTCCATGAGGGCACTGCAAAGCAAAGCTATACTCAAAAATAAATTTGGATTGAAATGTCTCCAAGATCTGCCTTGAAAGAAAGATCATTAGTATCGGATACAGTGCACATTAGATCAGTTGCACTTCCCTGGCTCATACATGCATCTAAAGTTGTTTTGTTAGCCAAATCCATTTCGACACAACAATAATCCGGTAATAGCAAACAGTAGATAGTGCCTTGGATTTCTTCCTCTCTTCCTCTCGCAGCCTCGTCCCAACACGCAACACTTGTCAACGTGGCAGCAAGGGCGACATGGAGAAGTTGATCCCTATAAAGAATTCCACATCACTGATATGGAACTTGTTTGGATTTTCCAAAACCGACATAGTTACTGCTTAGTAACTTGAAAAATGTTCTTAAAAGCCAACATGAAAAAGAATCCTGCTTAGACTGGATTATGATTTTGTGTGGAAAAAAAAAATTGTAATATGATATTTTTGCCATATCGCCACCCCTAAATTGAGTATTGAAATATTCAGTGTTCAGGTTATGATTGTTGCTTAACCATAAACAATGCAGATAAATCTCTTACTTTTGGCATTAAAGTACTCTAGAATTCTGCTGTAAAGCCTTTATTCCAATATACCTGATTCAAAGATGGCTTTAATTGGTTTTCTTTAGTCTGTACAAAAGTATAAATACTGAAGATAAAGACAGCAATGAGTAGAAATGAAGAGAATTTTGACTGAAGGAGGAATCCAGTTTACCATTTTATAAATAATCTGTAAACATTTTTACCACAACAAATGTGATTTCTGTGAAATAATAACAGTACAGACAATGTATGTGGTACGTAGTGATTGCATGCTAATATTGACCCTGTAGTTGTGGTGTTCTGGATGCATAATCGTTACAGCACCATGCAGTAAGTACTTGATGTGTTTGTAAACCCTGCTGGTTTGTGACTCATTTTCTCCCCCCGATTGCCTTTTGATAGAAAACATCAGATAAGACCAGCGGGGATGCTATTCTCTCCATAAGGTCCCCAGATTTGTCTGAAAAGTAAGTTCTCATAGTTGTCTTTTGTTTGGAAATACTGACATTGCGATTTATCTGAAATTCTCTTTTTATTCTTGAGTAAACAAGAATAAACAAAATCTCTTAATAAAGCATTATAGTATTACTGTAATTGCATATATTGAAAAAAAAGTATTTTGAATATCTGCATCAGATGCTATTTCCAAAAATATATCTTTTTACATGCCAACGTAAGGCTGACCAGAATGATTGATCAGAATATGTATGGATAGATGTTTTGAAATGCTCCTGTATTTTTTATCAATTTGCTCACAGTAATGTACCAAATCCCCTACACTCTAGTCCAAAGTTTTTCAACAATTATTATTATTTTATATAATTTCCTGTTTGGTAAAGTTCTGAAAAGGCTGCCGTTGTGTAACTGGATGAGAACAATTCATTTTAATGTAACTTCTTCTCCATTCATTTTTCACAGGATGTATCCTGATGATTCAATGGCAACTTAATATGCCTGTAATTACAAATGTGTTTCCTGTTACCCCAGGAACTCCAGCAAAGACCTTCAGGTGTACTATGGCCCCAATGAAAGTTACAGCGATCTGTTTGAGGAGATCCAGCGCCGTGACGAAGCATTCTATATTATCTCTTTCCACAGGGTGAGGATATTCAGAGAAAACAGACATATCACATTTCTGTTTAATGATCACACTGATACGCATTAAAAAAAAAATCTAACTAAAAAGGTCAATTATCCGGTAAAAAACAGCCAAATTTGCTCCAATATATATTTTTTATTGATGTAATGGCAAATAGCTCTTGTTTAATAAATGTCTTTCCATGTAGTGCACCAAGTGCATTGATTATTCCAAGGTTCTAAGGTTTCACAGACGTACTATGTAGAACAATGACATCAAGAACCGAAAAGTTGATGAAACATTGATGAAATGCTCAACTTATAAACTTATAACTTATAAAAAGTTATAAAAAGTTTACAAATTCAAACCACATTCAATATAAAATTCCAGTAAAGTCCGTCTACCCAGCCCTTAAAGGAGAATTTGATCATTTCACATATCATTCTTTCTGTGTAGCGTATTAGACAAATACAGTGAAGAGTTTCCATTTTCGTGTTTCACTTCTCGGTGTTTGGATCATGTTTGATACTTGTCTGATCCAAGCAATTCTCAGTGACTTTTTGACATCATCTAAACTACTGTAATCTATCATATTTGAAGACAGATGTGAGTCATATTCAAAGACAGATGTGAGTATTGATCCAATACAAGTACTGTGGCAAATTCACAAATGTAAATTTCAGGGTATTTATGAATAGTTAAAAGGAAGCTGTAAGCTAAGAGTTGTAGTTTAAGAGTGACATGTTATAAAACATCCTTTTTTTCTCAAGGAAAGGTTAGGAGCGAAACACATTGTCACAAATCATTCATGCCATGTATGCATTGTGGCCAGTGAAGCCTCAATATTGTTCCTGCTTTGTTTTATGACATGTGGCACAGTTTCAGTATCACTTTGTAGTTTATAAAGACATCTCACCTATCCTAGATATGATGCTTTTGTAAATGATTCCTATGATCCTGTGCTGTGCTGTGCTCATTGATTAATTCTTTCCAAACCAAACTCTTGTCCCAGAATTTCTTTCAGGATTATTAAAGTTTGTCATATGTTATCTGTTTAATTAGCCATGAACTGATTACAGCATATGTCTCGGTTTCTATCAGGTCCCTTTGCGTGTTGATCATTTGCAGACTCAGGCAAAGCCTTTGGAAGATCGATGTTTGATGAAGGCTAATGCTAAACACACTTGCTCTTTGGATCTGATGAGTTGCTCCTGACTTCCTGGCCAATCCCATTCATTCCCTTTTTTGAACCTCTTTAACAAGCTGGTCTGCTTACAGACGTCTGTCAGTTCGGCAGTTTATCCTCCAGCTTCCCCAGAGCGATTCCTTCTCACTGCTGTCATGTCAGGGCCCAAATGCAGCACTCCATCCTAAGTAGAGTCCCTTCCGTAGGACTTGTGAAGTGGAAAACTATTTTTACATCTAGAATGTTCACTATGCATGTACTGTCCACTGTTAGGTGCAATCTTAATGTTTGTTATAAACAAAAAGTTTCCAATGCTTATGATGCAAATTTAATTAAATGCAGCTTCGTTTGCATTTGTACAAGTACTTTGAAATGTATTGAAATGTTTTTCACACATATCTCATCTTGCTCTCGTTTTTAACGGCAAAGACATACTGTATAGAGGTGAGAATATAACTTGGTGTCTGAGCACAGACACAACTTGGCGTCAATCCCGTGACCCTGGAGCATTTTTTGGAGGTTAAGGGTCTTACTCAAGAGCCTCACGGATATGAAGCAGCCCTCTTCCGCTCGCAGGCACTGAGGCGTAATCCTCTGAGCCACACGCCACCCTCCACCGCTTTGTCCGTTTGCTCACTATGACATGTGAATTGTTTGTTTTTATGGTTTACTTCAGTATTTTGTTTCCTAGGTTTCGGAGTGTATTTTCTGGCTGTTTCACTATAGTGTTTTCATAGGCTTTCCAAGGTCCTCTTGTGTTCTGGATTTAATTTGTCATTTTAAAAGTATTGTAGCGTGGCCATGGCATTGGATGGTGCAATAATAAGGCAGGAGACAGTATAAATCAGCCACAAGGTGGCGTTTATTGCACCCATACCATTTACTGTAACAACTCACAGACTCTGCCCCCCATGCTGGCCACCCCAGCTTCCCACATCACGCACACCACTATTTTCAACACTTTATATTAAGTGCTATATGTGACATTACTTTATAACACAATGACAGCACAATAGATGATGACTACACAAAGCTATTTACATTCAAGCTGGCATCAGTCCAACACTGCATAATGTTCTGTTGTACTCCTATGCTCAGAGATCTAGTGCCGTCACAATTTCTCCCACCCTTTGTTCAGATGCATCACCATAACCAGCTTGGCTGGTGGGATATTGTCTTTGGTCTGGTGCCTGATCTCAGTACAGTAGTTGTAGCTATCGGTCATCTGGTTATCTGTGAATGTAAGTTGAGATGGTCAGGCTCCATTGGTGTGGAAGGGATCGGAAATTCCTCAGAGACCAGAAGGTGCAAAGCGTATGTGGAGGCTGCTCTGTAGGCTGGGCTTTTCGAGGCCCTTTTGGTTGATGGAACAAGCAGACCCAACTTCGGATTTCATAGCGTTCCATGCCCTTGGCATGGGTGTGTGATGGAGAGAGCAGACCGGATGTGACCTGCACTCTTTGTTGTCCTGGGAATGAAAACCTGGACTCACAGTTTTCCTATTGTATTTAAAGAAGAAGAAAAAATTATAATTTATAGTCACGAGATTTAAAACACTGTGTGTTCGGATAGCTCTTTGTCTAATTAGCTGCTCAAATTCACTCAAGAGAATGATTTCTGTATGTGAGAAGAACATTTCCATTAACATTTTGTCTTGAAATGTTCAAGGATTCAAGGGTTTTATTTGTTACATGCAATGCATACAGTCCAGCTATATCCTGTAGTGAAATGCAAGGTGATCAACTCCCCCGCAATAATGTAAGTTCTGACTTTTAAAATGTAAATGGTTTAGGAGAATAAAAAGCTTGTTATCATTCACATGACTGTGGACAACCTTCCGTCAGTTTCTTCAAATTATTAACAGGACTTATGTATACAGGCTTGATATATTGACAACCCTTTAGTGATGTGGCTGAGCAGTCTTACTTAATTAGACTACACTGAAACCCAATGTGTCTTGAGCGGAGAGTAGATTGGGTTGTGTTTCGTTAGAAGGAACTTGGCTTCTAAATGTCCACGCACCGTGGGCGTTCTGAACACCAGCTTCTTTATCTCCAGCCTTGTTTTAAGAACTGAGTTGGAATGTGCGTCCTCTGGATTTCACCTTCCTCTGGTGGTTAAGCTCTGTTTCACTGTAGGCTACAGGCAGATGTTTTTGTCTAAATCAATGCTAGGAGAGATTTGCGCTTGTCACGCTACTCTACAAGTAGGCAAGAAATGCCATCTGAAATGTACTTGGTTATTTAGTGGTACATCAAATGTTTATGCTTCTGAGCTCCTTCTTTAAGACTTTGAGACTGGTTTTTGTCAGTGATTTAAAATTCCAGAGGGAGTTCTCTGGAAGCCAAGGAAGGACATCACAAAATCTACATCCCCTGGCCCTACTCCAGATCTCTTTAGCTGAGTTTTTCTTTTTAAGATCTATGATCACCAGTATTTCTAGCTTATTTCCTTTCATATTCTAAACCAGCTTCTCTAAGATTCTGAGGAGCAGTGACTGCAGTACAAGTCAGCAATCCAGTAATAAATAAAAGAAATGTTTTCATTCATTTATTGGAAGTATGAGCTATTGTACTCAGAACTGCTTATAAATTTGTTTATGTGGTGTAAAAATATTTGGGAAGATGATCAGACATGATTTGTGGCATTTATAAAGCCCTGTTTGAGAACTTAGGTGGTGACCATTTGTTAATGTTTGGGATTTATTTATGCCCACATGAGTGATCTTTACTATTTAAACTTGTATTATAGGAGCACTTCCTTCTCCCAGCTACCCACCACAACAAAGGAACCAGACCTAAGATGTCAGTGGTGCTGCCAGCAATGAATGGCAAGTAAAATGTTTTTTTTATGTCTGTTTTATTTCAGTCGGGAAGAAGCTGAGCAGGAAATATTTCAGTTTAAAAGGCTATTCAGTCAGAAAAACTTGAATTAATTGTCAGGAGCTTTGAAACTGACTAAAGATTACCAATTAAACCTAACTAACTGAATCCCACAGAACCACACAAAGAGAATAGTACTTCCCACATTGTTAAACTTGTTACTTTATAACAGTAACCAAAGCTTGTAAAGTACCATAGGCAGTTGGGATTCTGGTTCCTAAACCAGAGTGTCCTCACCAGCAAAAAACAGAGTGAAAGGTCAACTCTTCACTTCATACAGCAGAAAAAAACAATCTTGCGAAAGAGAAATATCCCTTACATTCACACTGCCTGGCCAAAAAAAACATGCCACCATTTCAGTTTAAATCAGCATGAGGTATCATTTTCACACACGAATTGGCCCCCACAAAATCTTGACCTTAACCCCATTGAACATCTTTGAGAGGCACTGAAGAAGACTTTATGGAGTAGTTCAACTCACATATCATCAATACAAGATCACAACAAGAAATTCATGCAAACCTGGATGAAAACCAATGTTGAGATGTTGCATTAGCATGTGGAAATGCAAATGTGCACCATAATCAAAGCTAAAGATGAAATATTAAAGTGTGTGACTTTTTTTTTTTTTTTTTTGGTCAGGCAGTGTAACTAGGAAAAGGTGAAAACGATTTAGATTATTCAGGCTAAATATTTTAAGACTAGTGATGTGTAAAATAAGTTGATCCTTTCATTTTGATTGCATGTCGTTAAACAAGTCATCATGATAAACTGTTTGTAAGTTTTGCATTAATACTTTTCTGAAGAAATCCAGATGTATGAAAACAACCCCTAAAAAGTTGCAGTTCCTTGTTAGACACTTTGGTAGTTCCAACGCCTGCCAGCATTTCTGCTTCCTTTGATTCTTAGTTTGAATATTGATGCTGTAATGGGAAGCAGGCGCATTTCAATCCGAATCTGCTGATCAGTGATGTACTCACAATCATACTGTCTGCTTTGTGGACTCATGCAGTCACAGAGTTTCTTTTTAACCATTAAACCAATGGTTCTTGTATTTCTGTAGGTTTTAAAGTTCAGCTCTGTTAATCTTATTCCCACCTGGTAGCTTCATCGCATTCATCCAGTTCTTCTTTTTAAATATCTGCTAGCAAAACGGTCAGTAAGAAGTTTAAACCAGTTTTTGATTTCTAGAAGAGGTGGCGTGCCTAAATGCAAAAAAACTGTGGGAGTTTTTAAAAGCATCGAAGGGGGGTTTGTGTTCAAGTACAGAAGGAATATCGATACCGTAACTGCTGAGTTAATGAGATATTTGGTACCAGGAAAAATCTGATGGTATACAAAACATATGTGGTCGGTTCTGACCTTATTTCTTGTATATTTTATTGCCATATAAATCTTGTTGAAAATAACTTAAGAATGTGTTGGAATTTTTGAATGTGAAAGCATTATCAACATGCTTGTAATTATTGAAATTTATTATACTTTATAAAATCCCTCTTCAATACGTGTTCAGTAGACCTTCCTACTGTAATGTATGCAAGTGATTTACTGTGGATAAACCATCCATTCATCCATCTTCCATCTGCTTATCCTAGACAGGGTTGTGAGGGAGTTCTGGATCTCGTCCCCGGCAGCACAGTGCTAAAGGCAGGGTCACGCCCTGGGCAGTTCATCACAGAAGGCCAAACACAATACAAACAGCAAAGAAACACTGCTGCACAACATTTTCCTTGGGGCACAAATAATGCAGTAGTACACGCTTACTTAATGTATTAATTAACCACAAACTAAGTGTTAGTTACATACTGATCCCATGTTCCTACATCATTAATCAATCATGATGGTTCATGTATTCCACGTAGTTACTATATTTGTTCATGATTTATACTTGAGTAGTAACCGAGTTACTAAGTTACTTGTGCCACCTAAAGTAAAGTATTACTCATTGCTAATATCAGTATTGAGGATAATCAGAAGCTTGGCTGCTGCATGTCTGGTCAGAAACACAGGTATATGGACAAAGGAAATTGTATCTTTTAGTGAAATGGGCCACATACTTCACCACAGCGCAAAAAAAGACAGTGGAATAGTTGAATTCTCCCCAAATGAGCTTGATGAGCCGAATGGCCTCTTCTTGACTGTAAATTTCTTATGTTCTTATGACAGTGTCGCTGGTTAGCCAGCTAATTCGAGATTATTAGCTAGCGCAATAGTTTCAGTTGCCCAGCAACCATCATATTCTCCATATTTAGGAATTATCTTTGGAACGATGCGTGTCCTGACTGGCAGTTGTCATTTGGTGCAGCCATATAACATCATTATATTATATTCCTGACTCATCATGGAATCTCAAACTTTATTACTTGAATATACCATATATTTAGAATAATTCACAGAATTTTTTAATTGAGACAGATGAGCAAAGCTATTAAATTGTCCCATTTTTATTCCTTTTTACTACGTACCTACCCAACTGTCTTGCAAAAGATATTCTAATAAAGACTGATTAATTGTTTAATTTCAGTGTGAACACTTTAAAGTGCTGCTGCAGCAAGGTTGCATTTCAACCTTTGACGAAATGTTATAGTGGTGAGTATGTGAATTTTGGTGCAAAATTGTGTTTTAGGACCTGTTTAAACCAAGTTTTTTATTTTATGCCACAAGCGTCTGCTTATGTCTTTCGTTAGCCAGGGAAAATTCACTGTTGAATATGGTTCCACTATATGGCAGGAAGAATAGGCCATTTAGAGTAGTTTGCTAAATATTTTAAGTGTTTAGGGGCATGGTTTTTAAAACAAAAGGTTACGTCTGTATGGGCTGTGTGTAATGTTAAATTAGAATCAGCTTGTGTCAGACCATTTCATCCTGGAAACTGGTTTTGTTCCGGAAATAATAACATGATATTTGAATTCAAAACATCTGCACAATAGTACAATAGCACTAAAATGCTGTTTTTCAAAATAGAAATATATTGTTGCCTTTCTTGAAACTGCCTTCTAATGTGTGTGTGTGTGTGTGTGTGTGTGTGAGTGTGTATGTGTGTATGGATTCGGTTTATACTACATTGTGGGGACCAATGTAATAAAAACCTGTTTTTCTGATGTTGTGGGAACCATTTTCCAAGTTCCCACAAAGATCTGAGAATGCAACCAAAAACTAAAAATACTGAAAGTCTCGTATTTTGTTTGGTTACTTATGGTTAAGGTTAGGGCTGGGTAGGGGTTAAGGTCATCATGTTGGGATTAGAGTTTTCCCTATAGAAACAAATGGACAGTCCCCACAAAGATATAATTACAAACCCATGTGTGTGTGTGTCTGTATAATTTGCTTCAGTGATCATTCATATATTAATTTTAGGAAGGCCAAGTCTGATATCTCTCATTTTCTATGTTATACGTCTATCTCATTTTAGTCTAAACCTTATTTGGTGGCCAGTGAACCACATGGAATAGTTCGTTATGACGTCCCCATAGGATTCCCTGTGAAATGTGACACTTTCTATGGACACATTGAGCCCTAATTTGATAATGGAGGGCTGGTCAGAGAGGGCAGGTCTGGAGAGCTTTCTGAGGTGGGCAGCTCAGTCTGCACAGACTGGCTCCTGACCAAAGGAAGCCTTTCCTCTTTACTCGTGAGGTTTCATACAGACTCTGGCATCAGGCTGAGCCAACTTTACTCCAGCTTTGATTTCTCTTTAAGGAAACATATTTAAACAGGTTGTGCATATACAGTACACAGTATGATTATAGTAGATTTTGCTCAATTTCATAGAAGGCATGTAACCTTTGCAGTTTTATAAATTCCCCTAATTGCTTTTTTGGTGTAACTAATTAAGATAAAAGACCTTTTACATGCCCAATTTTTGAACCCACCCACCACCTGAGATCCAGTCTGGCTTAAATGTGCATGCACACTTGTTTTACTTTATTATTTAAACCATTTATATATCTCTCCACAGCTCAAGCACAAATTGCACTGGAGAGTCTTAGCGCGTACGTCTGGTACTGTGAGACTAAACCTTTTCAATTGAAAGCATTTGAAGTTTGTGGTTTGAAGAGCTGAAGGCAAACTACACAGAATGAAAGCCATTGTTTATAATCTCACTGCAGTTCATCTTTAAAAAATGTGACCTCTCTGCAAGCCAAAGTACAATTTTATATTCATAGTCGTTGTGTGATGCTCATAACTTAAATTATCCTACTGATGCTTTATATCCACTATGAAGTGTGGCTTATTACTAGTTACCAACAGTTATATTGGGTACCTTGGGAATGAATTAACTAACATTAGGTGTCCAATGGTTCGTTCATGGCTACTGTTGATTATCTGTGACACTTTGGTGACTTGGAATTTAGCACAAAGGGAATATTAGGGTGAAGTGAAAGGATTTCATCCATCCATCCACCCTCTACTGCTTATCCGGTCAGATCGCGGGGGCAGCAGTCTAAGCAGGGGAACCCAGACGTCCCTCTCCCTGGCCACTTCATCCAGCTCCTCATAATTTCATAGTTTTATTAAATCTTAAAAAGGTATTTAATGTTTTTTATATGTCAATAGACACCATACTGTGAGTATTGTACTGTATCTCCTTGTCTCATCAGCAGGTTAGTACAAACTCTTCACAAATACATGTAATCATTAGGAATGTAAGCTGTTCCTTTCACCTGAAAGGATTTATGGCAACATTGTACTTGACGGGGCACAAATACTTAGTAATACCTCATTTACTACTGAAATACAATTTATGAACAAATCATGAACAAGTATAGTTGCAACTTGATAAAATGTGTCACCATTAATTAATGGTGAACAAACATGAGATCAGTATTTCACTTCTGTTATTCATGACTTCAGTTCCTTCAGTAATTTCTTAGTAGTTCACAAAGGTTTAGAGAATTAACAGATATAGTAAAAAATCTAGTAACTGCTTGAGATGAAACATGCATCA